GGAGTTTGTGCAGGCAGTGCCTGGCCAAGCATCCTTCCGAGCTTTGCACTCCTCCAAGGTAACGGAGTCTGGATGACACCTGACCAAGTCAGGATGGACAAATGTCCGTGTCAGGAATTTTTTCCTGGACTTGTTGGCAAAAAGTGAGTATGCCTTTGATAGGTTGGAGCCCAGAGTTTTAGACAGACAGAGTCCTGCTGACGTGGTGGACAGCGATGAGGCTGGCTGTTCCTGTAAAGGGTGGCAAGGCTCAGAAACCCTGCAGCACAGTTCTACTCTGCCCTCCATGCTCGTGTGGATCCCATTTTGAAGTTCCAAGTGCTGAGGGCAATGGCTGGTCTCCGAGATTTTTCACTTCCGTTGGCCAACAAAATCCCTTTTTGGCTTAAAACACTTTGCATCGGAGCTTGGAAGTGGTGTTTGAAGCGATAACCGGTTGCTGACAGATTGACTTTTCGCAGTGACACCGCCCACACGTGTCAAAGGAGAACGTGTGCCGTTGGGTTTTCGATGGCTGGTTTGACAAAACATATAGATCACCAAGTCTTCTCCCCAAGGTGCTGATGGGTAGACTTGAACCTTCAACTTCTGGGTGAGCGGGCAAGCGCAATAATTGTCTGCGTTCCCCAGGGGGAGGGTCGTGATGGAGGGCCGGTGGGAGGAAGTGGCTGAGTCAGGATGGGCCGTGGTGTGATGCAAATCCAGCAAGCCTGGTTCAAGGGTGGCAGGATGCTAGAGTGTGTTGGCCGCTTCTTGTGCCCTTCATGTGCCCTTCGCGGAGGCATTACAGAGAAGAGACAAGATGCCTTTGAGGCTGGCTCTTCTGAGTGTGCAAAGGAGCAAAGAGCTTTGCTACGGGGACCTTTGCTCTTTGTGGCGAGCCATGCAAATCCCACGAAAGTCACTGCCCACCAGGGGGTGCTGACTCCCAATCCTCACAGACCAAAGTCAACAGAAAGAGGCAGAGTTACAGAAGAGCTTGAGGCCTGGAGCCCTGGGTTTCACAGGAGAGCCCCGCTCCCCACCCCCCGTTCCTGGGCCAGCAGCCTGGGACACTCCAGCTCCCCGCTCCAGCCTATTGGTTCCCGAGTGC